TTTAAACATTATCAATTAAAAATGATTTTTAAAAAAAATACTGTGTTACTTTTTTTGTTGTGTGTTGTGAAGACAAAAATATGTTACGGCAAAAAAAACTGGGAAAAAACTGAAATATCGTTAGAAACAGCTTTAAAATTAGATACTGGATTCTCGTATCTTAGTTATGATGAGGTACAAAATTTGTCATTTTCAGATATCAAAAATAAAATCTTGGAAGAAAATCAAAATCTAGAAAATGTTGTGTTAACGAAAAAAACGGATATAATATTTTTGGACCTTTTTTGTGGTAATATGTTTAATTTTATGAAATATACGGAACTTTTTTTTCGCCTCATTTATATTTCACCTGGAAATACTTTTGATATTAATACAATGATTATAAATGAATCTATTACAAAACAATTTTTAGTTACAATGATAAATTATTATATTGATGATAAACTAACCATTTTTTGGATAATGCATTTATATACTTATTACGTTCAATTGTTTAGTAATGATGTGTATAAATATAAAAACAATATTATAAAAGCTATTGAACTCGTTATCGAAAATTTATATCTTGTAAGTAAGCAAATATGTAGAAAAAATAATAATTATAGTGTGGGTTATTTTGATGAAGAATATTATATACTCCTCACAAAACTAATAAAAACTATGGATCAAAGAAAAGAAATCAACAAAATTGAATTAGAAAATGTGGAAGGACAAGAAAATTCGTTTTCACTCAGAAATATTTATATGTGTGACATAATTGAGGACAGAGAATTATNTATGTGTGACATAATTGAAGACAAAAAATTACTGAGAACTATTATAACGGATTTTGGTGAACAGAGTGAAGCTATTTTTGAGACTATCTACAATAATTTATATAAAGAATATACAATGGCAAAGAATTATTTTTGGTTTGATTCATGGATACAAAAAATAGGAATTTACCAACAAAACGTCTTAAACGTTTTTAAAACTGTTTTAATGCATTTAATGAGAAAAAAATTGATGTATGTTTATTTATTGTTAGAAAATAAACAAAAAGTAGATGCAATTTATGGCCTAAAAAAATTGCAATGTTTAATTGAGAATACCATTATATTATTTGAAGGTCAAGAAGCTCGCGATGTTGAAAAAGTATTTAAATCTTTTGATCAAGGCGATTATCATAATGATTTGATTTTAAATATCGATAATATAATAAATAAAATAAAACCAAATTCTTTTGAATTAATTTCAAATGATTTAATTAATGACCCATCCAGCGAATTGAGTATTAATGATAAAACTAAAATGTTTATCACAGATTATAAGTTAAATGAAGACGATTTAAAATTTATGGAATGTTTATACACAATTACAGATTCTAAAGCAATGAATAACCATTTAGTAAAAATATTTTATTTTACTAAGTTAATAGATAAAACATTCCAAAGTGTTAATATAAAAAGTATTTTATCATATTTAAAATTTACTGAAACTTTAAAAATATTCATTTTTCAAAATGAAAATAACGATGAAAATAATGATGATAATAACGATGAAATAAGGTTATTAGATTTGTAAAAATAAATTTTTTAGAGTTAAAACAATCTTCAATCATCATAATTTATTTCAAATCAATACTAAAATTATATTGGAGTTTATTTTTAAAGTTGTTTTAATCGTCGTTTTAATAATGTCACTTACTATTGTGGTATCACTTATAGTATTAGAATAGAATATGTCATTTGAATATATATTTCACATAATATAAATATTTTCATCATCAAAACAGAGTTTCCTTCTTAAAATACTAAATATCCAAATAATATCTAGACATAATCCAACTATTGTTCAGATTTTAAAACAGTGTCTATACGCATGACTCTTATAGGCCAGTAAACAAAGGAGTAATTTTGGCGAATGGCGGAAAAAATTCCCAACCAAATTTTTTTTTTTTTAAAAGTTGAATTAAGATATGTATAATGACATACTAAAAGTCCTCATCGATTGGACTTGAGCTTTTTTTTTTACAGCCTCGCAAAAGTTCAAAAATATGTGCTTTTTTAATTTTCTCAAAAAATATTTAACTTACAAAAAAAAATTTCGTACAAAAGTTGTTTAAAAGACAATTTTAAACAAAAAAGGTATCTTATATTTTTTCATTTAAACAAATATTTTTCGAGTTACATTACATTTAATATGAGTACTAAAATTTATTTTCAATTTTTTTCCATTTTACGATTAATTTTTATCATATTATTCTTACATCAGACACAATGGTACAAATGGTTATATGTGTATGTATGAGTTTATTTATTTATAGTATCATTATAGTGTAGTTTATATTAAGATATAACCGATAGTGTAGGTAATTGATTTGACGCTAATTACAAACTGAATTTTATCTTAATAAAAGACGTTAGGTTTATCGATAATATACTTGTATAACAGTAATTTTTCGTCTTACAGCTGTGAGATAGTAATAGTAATATGAGCAAATATTTTGTGTTGAATTAGTTTTGGGTTAAAAAATTTTTATAATTTTAANTATTTTGTGTTAAATTAGTTTTGGGTTAAAAAATTTTTATAATTTTAAAATATGTCTTATATCACTTGCTGTATTTGTGAAAAAACTCGAGGTGACTTTGTCGAAGTTAAGCAAAAAGGTTTATTGAGTCTTTTAAAGGCTAGTGAAATGCGTGGAGACAATAAATTTAAAAACATTAGTGGCACGTTAATGGCACATATAGAATGTAGAAAATCATATACACGTAAATGTACCATTATAAGTGACCTGAAACAAACAAGTGCTTCTACTTTTACTGATACGACATTACCACCTACACCTACCAAAAATAAAGTACGATCATCTCAGTCTCTTCAACTTAAAAGTAAGTGTTTATTTTGCTTTAAAATTATACCAGACAATTTCTCGGATATTCAAAAAAAGAAGCCTGTAGAATGTAGAGAAATTGTGTGTACTGTAACTAGTTTAAACGTAGGCCATTCTATTATTACTCAAGCTAAACAACGAAATGATTTA